GACGGGCATGCTTTTTTCCTTTGTCCTCTCCCACCCTCCGCACAGCCGAGCCGTGCTATTTTGACTGACTGTTTGTGGACGCGGATGAGCTGGTCGCTGCATTGATTTTTCAAGATTCCGCCTGCAACCCTTTGTAAAGTTGCTATTGCGTGTGAAATGACTAATCGGACCACAGTTCCCGGCCGTTCCAGGCTGCTTATGCAGTTTTGGCGATTGTTCTTCGATGATTGTGCCAAATCATGTACAAAAAACGATCATTGAAACCATGATGGATGCCTCAGGTAGACCCAGAAAACGGATTCGTTCAAACAGCAATGGACTGGGGAAGAGGACATCTGCTCTTCAAGTTCTCGTTTATCGGTTGGGATCACTCAAGTTTCACGAAGAAAGGGAGGGCAGTTATGAATCCACGGTTTCAGAGATACTATCGTACCTTGAAACTTTTGGGTTTATTGAACCGTCAATAGCGCGAAAATTGCATAAAAATTTCCTGATCAAACTAGGATTCTCTCTCAAATTGGAAAGGTTTGATCAAAGTGTCCTGCAAGCAGAATTCCTTTTGGTACTCTATCGATGTGTTTGCAGTAGTCTGGTGGAGAATGGTAGTCCAAGGACAGCAGAAAGCTATTTTGGAAAACACGAAGTTGAAGAGGCATTCATCATGATGCTTCAAACATCGGAGGGACTGAGAGAAAGAAAATCAAAGTTGAGCACTTCCAGAGCGATACTTTTCAAAGCAAGTTGTCTTCAAATCATTCGCCTCCTGCTACTTCAGAGCCCTAGGATTCGAGAAATGATACGTTCTAGCAGGAGGTTTGTGGAATCAATCCTCTATGTTATCGTGAGCATGCCAAAGTGTTCAGAGTATGAGTCAAAACCATCACAATCACAGTGCGAGCGATCATGCTACAGGGAAATTTTCCCCATCCTTCGCTCGTTGTCTCCATCTGCAATGCAGATAATTACAATAACCGAATCCATCATGTGTAGGAACCATCAAATAATCCAAAACCTTTCGGGCAACTCAAAAGCGGATCAACTGTTCTACTTGAACTGTCTCCTCATCGATGGAGCACCCGAAAGATGTATGAAGGATTCCGAGCTTCATGAGACTATTTCCTTTACAAAAGATGAGTGTCTCAGAGAGTACCGTCTCTCCTTTGTCATTGAATGTTTTTGTTTGATGGTTGAAAACTGGAGTGTGGCCATTGATTTGAATAAATTCTTCGAGTTGCTGGTCGACGTTGTCCTTGAACAGTCAAAGCATGATTGCTCATCGAATAGAGTATCAGTGAAATGCTTAGAGCTATTGGTGAGAACATCAAAAACACGATACATGCTTCTACAACTCAGGACATTCAATAGCGTGGTTCAGTTGTTGTCCCGTGTCGTTTTCGACAAGATTGAGTGCAGAGACACAGTGCGAAAGGCTGCTGGTGTACTCTGCTCAATCGCAATAGCACAACAGAAATCGAGAGCGTTCAAAACGAAGGAACGACAAGATCCAAATTGTGTGCTCTTGTCTCTTTTGTCGTCAGAGATTCCAGAAGTTTTCGATCAAACGGTGCCATGCGTCCGCACTCTCTTGAAAACAGCGGAGGGTACAAGACCGACAAATGATTACTGTTGCAAACTGATGTCTTTGCTCGCAAAAGTTTCTATTCATGACTTTACACCTAACGGAACACAAGAAGAAGTTGTTGTGGAAATTTTCCAGCTCTTGGCGCAACGGGACAGTATATGCCTCAATTTCTTGGCTCGTCAGCCTGGTGCTCTGTCTCTTATTGTTCGCGTGGCTTCCGGTGAACAACGCATCACTCCTAGGCAAATGGCCTTCTCACTCCTTCTGCAAATGTCGAAGAACTCTTGCAACCACAGAATCATTGCTCGACACCCCGGCCTCCTTTCTTTCTTGTTTCGCTATACGAGAAGTGCAAATCAAACTGATGAACAACGAGAGAAAACGAAGGAACAAATCCTCCATCTTGTTAGATCCTTGTAGTCGAGTTTATTCTAGGTCACTGCACTGACTATGACTACTCGTAGACTAGAAACAGCGTGAAATGGGAAAATAACAAAAATATTGCACTTCTTGAATCATCTTACTAGACTATCAACGGTGCAGTGAAGTAGCAAGTAAATCGATTTCTGGTAACGCATACATTTCGGTGTCGATTGATTGATTCATTCATTCACGGGACTTTTGCGGATTCATCGGAATCAGATCCCAAGTCGACAAAGGCGTTTGTTGCAGCAGCAACCGTAATCAAAGCAGCTCCTTTACATCAATGATGAGCACAAGATCACTGGATAGCAATTTCACCAAATTGACTGACTCACCACTGTAGCTCTGGATTCCCCCCAGCGTTTCATGAAGCAAGAGCCACGAAAAGAAAGCACCATACACTGGGTCCAAACTATATATAATCGATGCGCGTTCAGCAGAAACCTTTTGCTGTGCGCGAGTCTGAAGATAGTTGGTCAGAGCCGTTGCGATGCCTCCAAGATATACCAACTCTATGGGATGTGAAGTGGCCGTGTCAAGTAAAGTCGTGATCGACGAATCACCTTGAGCAGTCACCCATACGAAAGAAAGGATCGTGACAACCAATAGACAAGCAGCATTCAATTGAGAAGAGTTCTCAACTCTTGCAGATGCCTCTTCGAGGCGAAGTATGAACATTGCTGACGAAGCAGCAGCTGCGATGCTCCAAGTATCTCCTACACAAAACCCAAATTCACTACCATCTGTTGCCAACAAAGCTGTACCAATAAATGCGGAAAGTGCAGAAATCCACGTTGCGGGGTATATTGACTTTTTGAAAATAAGCCAAGAAAAGAGAGGAACAAACTTGACATTAAGATAGAGAAGAAATCCCGATCGTGATGCCGTTGTCGTTTCTAGTCCTATTGCCTGCATAGTTGAAAGCAAGTGGGAAAGTGAAAAGTAAAAGTCAGCGCTTCAAAGCGAACAACACAAACCTGTAACGCGAAACTGAAAGCGAAGATGAGCATATGTCGTTATGAACAGAAAGCATATTCGGAAAATTACAGACCCAAGAAATTGGTATATTGCTAATTCACATCCCCAACGCCAAGCATCATACGAGTTGTCTCCATTTTTCTTTGAAGGCAGTTTAGGAAGATACGGAATTGAAAGTAGAGCAGCAAGTCCAAACCGCAGCAACGAGTAGGAGGCGGGTGTAGTATCTTGTACCAAATTCTTGATGATTGCGTGCTGTGTTCCCCACAAAATTGCGACAAAATTCAGCAAAAGAATGCTCGAGAAAAGACCGCCATGCTCATTCATGACTTCGTTGTCGGCAACTTGGTCTGTGAATTCAGATTCTTCCAAGAATGAATCATCCGTCTTTGGTGTGCCATCCATGATTTCGATGTCATTACGCTCAGATTTAGCCAAGAACAATGACCCAGCCGCTTTTGTTTTCACACCATGTACCTGAAGACGCGATCCTAATTTTGTGGTTGATTCAAGGGATTTGAAGGATTTCAGCCCAAGAATTGTAATAGCATCCTTTTCGTAGTTAACAAATCCATCTGATGTCAAGCAGAGAGAGGCGAAGTAGAACGCCAAACAGAGTGGTGACTTGACTATCTTCATATCACCAGTTTGTAATTATGTGTACAGGGTCTGCAAATGGTGCGAAAATCAGACGCAACACAGGGAGTTGTGGGGAGTTTGCATCTCATGTGTGCGACGCGTCGTAACTTGTTATTTATTCCGAATCTGCACTCTACCACCACCACCTAAGGCTGTTTCCATGCGAACCGAATTTCGAAAACCGAAAAGATGCCAAATCCGGCCAGAGATTTTCGGTTTTGGAAAATCAGGGATATCCCGCAGTTTTCTGTGAAGCCAGCTTTCTCTTTTTTTTGGAGAGTCGATGTGGTCATTTTCACCCTCTTCTGCACGAAACTTCAAATTATTGCCTGCCAGAAAGAAACTTCTA